AATCTAACGACAAGATCCATGAACATATTGATTGAAGAAAGAGAAAACAAATTATAAACCACTTACAGTGTTTATTAGCATATTCGTATTTACGGTAAGGTACATTTTGAAGATAAACATAAACATCAGCCAAATAATGGTCTACAATCTAAAATAAGACATACATATCAAAGATTTAGTGAAATAATATCAATGAAAATACTGTGTTATGTCGATTGAGAACAGAATTATTTTGATCGATTTCTTGTTGCTGTGATAATTTAGGAGATGTTGTTGATATTGGTATTTTTATACCCTAGTGCACAATAACAGAACAAATATCATAAGAAAAGAGTGTATTTACTCGAACAATAACTTTGTATTTGAGATCTTCTGGTGATGGTAATACGCATGAAACTTTTGCAGTTGAAGATTCAATAATTAAACGATCTTAGCAAATATTAGAAAATAAAATCATTGTACAACTTATTTATTACTACCTTCAAGAATTTGTTTTAAAATTTGAGCCATTTGAATTTGTTGTCCGATTGAACAATGATTTTCAAGATCAAGGATTACAGGATATCTGTAACGAAAAGAAAAAATAAGAAACATATAGGAGATGAGGCTTTTGGCGTGGACTTTCGGTCTGTGCTTAAGTTGGCCAAATTATCTCCTACTAAAAAGCCTTATTTCTTTAATTAGTCGCTGCATTTCATAATACTCAACAGTATGAATTTAGATCATTCTAGAGTCATAGCATCCTGCTCAGCACTCTGCCATCTTGCTGAGAGCAGTACATCTTAATGAAAATGCATACTGTTTAACACTTTTGAATGTGGCCATGAATTAAAAAAATAAGAATTTTTATAGGGGTTAATAAGGTTAGTTTAATTCAAACATGAATAATTAGGTAGATGTATGATTTACTGACGGTGATGTCTTGAAAAGATTTGGTTCGATAAAACGAATAATTGATTCAAAACGACATGATTTAACAAATGTATATCGATGTTTAACTATAGGTTGACCATCATCACCGTCATAACAATCAATTTCAACTGCTCGACAACCAGCTCGTAATGCTCGATTGTATGCTTCTGGATTACTTTCACCGGATACTTGAGTATTAAATAGATAACTAGAAAAAATATCAATATAATCGATTCGATTAGATATAGTAATATAAAAAATTCCTACGTATTGTGTGAAGTGTTTATATAATAATCATTTAATGGTCTAAAAAATGTAAAAAAAAAAATTATATATTGAACATTGAAAAATAGTTATCTTTGGTCATACCTTGTCATATCTTGATAAGTTCGACGAGAACACCATGGTCTCATGAGAGAGAAATCATCAGATAGTAATAGATTTCGAAAGCCTAGAAATGAATCAACATATGACTTTTATTTTCTAGATCACGTATTAATAGTATTAATAAGTGTCGAAATTATTGATTTTCAACTTCTGAATATTATGTTATAAACTTTCTCAACCTATTAAGAAAATAATTAATCCATTTCGTTCATTTCTTATGTTAAATATGAATAGCGATTAATATATTTATATTTTTGAAAACATTTCTTCCTTATCTTTTCTAACATTTATATTTTCTTAACATTATATGATATTGCTCTTTTGCAAATAATACAAACCATTTAAACTAAGAAGACCTTTTTCTTGTAATTCAATATTTGGTTCATATTCATTAATTAATTCTTGTACTTGCTCGTGTGTTGCAATTGGTAGAAGTGAAAAGCTATTTTTGTTTTGTTTTGATTGATATTTTATTATTGTTTGCTATAGATAGATTAAATATTTTCTTTTTTTATATGGATAGATAAAATGCATTTAACGTACATTTTGAACAGTTCGAAGAAAATATAAAAGTTCATTAATATTCATACAAATTGTATCGATCGTTTGTTGATCAACATTTTTCACATATCTGAATAAATATCTATTAATTTCAAGAATAGAATTTTTTTCTATTCAATTACTTTTGCATGACTTCATAAAGATCAATTCGACGAGTCAAAACACGAAAGAAATTTATAAATTCATCTGGATTCAAAAGACCTTCACCACTTATATCTGTTTCCTAAATAGTACAAAATTTTAATCAGACAATAAAAGTGATAGACTCTTCATACTTGAAAAAGTTTTTCAAAAACATCTTCTGGTACTTTTGCATTTAGTGAATCTGTCAGTAATCGACGACATTCACGTTTTGTTAATGTACCTGATTTATCTTTGTCAGCCAAACGAAAATAACTAAGAATCCAACTAATCAAAACAAGTTAATATTAATTCATAAATAAGGAATGTTCGTCTGAACAAGTAACACAACATGGTTTAAAGACATTTTCAATGAAAAATTAATTTTTATGCATAGTATTATTCTTTTCAAACGAACAATTTAATTGATGTGTCGTCTTGACTTATTATAAAATGAATTATCTTATTGTTTTATTTTGCTCTTTTAAGTCGAAATATTCTTTTTGATAGAAAAATTTATTATATTTTATCAATTTGTTTCTTACTTAGTCTCACTAAGAACATGTTGCTGTCTTTTTTTTGCATGTAAATCTATCAAATATTGTAATCCTTGTATCCATATATTCTTTGTTCGTTCATTAGTTGCCATCAAATGAAGTTCATCTCGATAATTGTTATAAAAGATGGAGAATGCAACTTGTTCCTATAAAACAATGCTTTTCAAAAATACATAGATGAAATTTAAATTGCATGATATAAGTTAACTAAGCTCTCATCAATAAACACTTGATTATTGTTTCAGAAATAGAATAAAAAAAACTCTACATAAACATTGTTAAACATCTTATATTTCATTTTTGATGAAAAATGACGCACTTCCAGTCGATGAAAGGTATTGTAGTAATCGTTCTACTTCATTTAAACATATTTGATAAAAATAATAATTAAAAAGCCTATTCAGAAACGTGTCATGTAAAGCTCAGCAGTCACTCCATTAGTTTGTTATTAATACATAATAAGAAATTCATGACAAGACTGCACTTAGAGGTGATTTCCGATCTTGGAAAATTTTCGCTTTTTCACAGCGAAACCCGAAGATTTTTTTCGATTTTTTGCTCACCGATCCTAGTAATAACAAAGGTCAACCTATTTCCAAATCGTGAACCATAGCTTCTCAATAATTATCCTCACAAATCTTAATAACCTGGAGACGCTCCTGACTGCAACGTCTAGTATTCGTTGGAGATTCATCCCTTTATTCATTGCTTAGCAGTTTCAGCAATCTTTTTTTCATGAAATTAAAAAAAAAGAAATTTCAGGTGCCTGTTGAAAAAACATGATTTATTTGGTTGTGAGAAAAAAGTAATTATGATGATTACACTCCATGAAATTCAATGTAGCATATTGTCGAAATGGATTACTTACATCAGTTGGTTCAACAAATTCACGTCGAACAAGTCGGTCAAATGTTCGTGTATGAAAACCAGCACGAATTTCATCTATTTCGTGAATATAATCTAAATTTGAAAAAAGAAGAACATAAACAGAAATAAATTTTGATTAGGCAATATACTCAAGAAAAGAAATTGTGTCATTTTAATTAGATTTTACTTGAAAACGAATGATTATTTTATATAAGAAAAAAATTTGTTTTGTAATACTTTTCTTTTTCAAGTTACCAGCAAGAGACTCTAATACTTTTAACTTTTATGTAAAAATATCTTTCATTATACTTACAGCGATGTGATTGAGCAAAAACTTTTTCCGATTGATGATATGAGATAAAACTTTCATGTTCATCAAGAAAGAATCGACGGGAATATTTTTCTCCATTACGTTTTCGTTTTGTTAACATTGAACCAACTTTTAGTTCAGTTAATATTCGAGTCAAATATTCACTTCTGTTGGAGAACATTTTCTTTTTCCTTTGCATCAATAACTTGGCTACACAAGGCTGTGAAAAAGAACACAATATAGATTTACAACTGTCAATAGGACATTAATCATCGACTTATTATTTATGGTGTCTTGCTCGTTCATAGAAGCGAAAAAAAAACTCATACAGTCCACAAAATATTATTTGTCATTCTCCGCTTGATACAAAAACCTTAATGTTCATAATTTTTCAAGCGAGTATGACAAGATGTGTTTTTTGCCTATCATTTAAATTAGTTTACAGAAAAAAATTTGCGTTATCTCAAGTGAACTTGAATAAAATATTTGCGCGTTATCAATTAATGGTCTATATCGAAAAATGCAAATGATCTCAAATTTTTATGACTGTTTTGTTCAGAAATGTAGAAGGTGTATAAATGTATATGTTGCACGAGTCACGAATATAATTCAAAATTATTGTTAATTCTTAATAATGTTCAGATAGTTACAATTGTTTGTAGATTGCTCATTGAGTTCTGTCTGAATTTACATAAATTGGTTACATTGTTGTTTTCTCAAATCTCAATAGTTCCTCAAGGTTTGTCATTATGATCACAGGTAGAAACCGTCTTTCTTTCTTTCTTCACTCATACTTTTTATCAGCTCCAATGTTCCTTATTTTTATTCACTTATTTGTGTTCAGAACCATCAAATTACATTATCCAGGAAAAAATAGGACAAAAAGAAAAAGAATTGCGACATCAATAACAACATGTTTTATTGAACTCTTATTCAAAATGTGGATAAATAGTAAAAATGATAGGCTTTAATATTTTTCACGACAGAGCAACAATAAAAATCGTAATGATTGCAGCATCGAGTATTTTTCACGTATTTCATCATACATAAGTTGTATAATTTTTTGATTCTTTTAAAAGATGTTTGGTGAAAATCTCTACAAGAATGGTAATCGGAAATCCTATTGACTTAGTGTAATGACTTTTTTATAAGGCTAAAAAAATCAAGTACTATGTGATGATGAGATTTTCCATTATTCAGAGAGAAACAAAAATGAAAATAACTTTGATTATTTTTCATATATGTCGACAACAATAAATCATAAAACCTTAAACTATTTCTGTTACGTGTGTCGTGGAATCCGTACTGCTTTTACATTAAAAGGATTTTTGAATTATGTTGATGAGTTCTTTAGATGATAAAAAGTAAAGACGTTTGTGATATTGCTGCTACCGATTATAAAAATGAGGAAAAACTTCAGAAATGTCAAGCATGTTGGCTAATAAATTTCATCATCGAATAAAGTGATTTATTCAAAATGGCTTTGTTAATGCATCAAAATCGTCTCGAAAAAGATAAAATAGACGAACCAAAAGATTAGTTACTTGAAATTTCGGAAGTTTTCTCCATTTTTATAATGGGTAGCAACAATGTCACGAACGTCTTTCCTTTTTATCATCTAAAGAACCCATCAACATGATTCAAAAATCCTTCTAATGTAAAAGTAGTACGGATTCCGCGACATACATATCAGAAATAGTTTAAGGTTTTATGATTAATTGTTGTCGACATATATGCAAAATAATTAATGGTATTTTCATTTTCTCATTAACACTCTTGTAGAAAATTTCACAGAACATCTTTTAAAAAACTCAAAATTATACAATCTATGTATGCTGAGATACTTGAAAAATATTCGATGCTGCAATCATTATGATTTATCCGGTGTTTTTTATTATAGTAGAATATATAGTAATGGTTGAATATTTTCTTTGCATATATGTTTGATTATTTAGAAAATCTACGACATATGGCAACTACAAGTTTTGAAAACATTTTGTTTAATTATGCGAGATCGAGCAGACTGTACAATAAACAATTAGCAAGAAATTGAAAACAATATGTGACTTTATGACCCTTCAATAGGATATGATATTAAAATACGCTATACATTGTAAAGCATGTAATTACAGTGGCTCTGAAAATGATCCAACCGGTAGAATATTTTATTTTATTTTGTATTCATCTCTAAAATTAGATAAGCTAGAATAATCTGAGTTTCATCAGATTATACCTCATAGTTTCTAGTATACTAGTTAAAAATTTTAGGTAAATTTTTTGGTTTGTTTACTTGTTATTGAAGTCACTGCCACTGGGGCGTGCCCTTTTCTTTATTCTTTAAAAATTATCCAAACGCTTAGTTTCGCAAATTGTTGCGTGTCTATTCTACTTTTAAATTAATTTTATAATATGTATTTTAATAGAACAAAATGTGCTCTACTTAAGAAGCAATTTTTATTATTTCTTCTCTTTGAGCAAAGGTTAAAAATCAATGTTTTTATTGACCTTTATTAAAAACTTTCAATAAACAGAAGACAAGGGATAGTTTCTTCATATGATGTTTAGGCAATTTTATTGTTAAATATATCAATATCAAGAGTACTACGAATTG